AGAGGCCTCTATAACAGGTTCAGTTTGTTATTTCTAAAGAAGAAATTATGATGTTTTCTTCCATCCTATTGCATTCCAAGTTGGAAGTGGAAGGCAATTTGACATATTTCCAAACAGATGAGTGCTCTTTGTATAGAGAGCATGCCCCTTTAGTAATGAAGCCTTGAAAATTATACGTGAAATGTGAATAACCAGCTTGTGTTTTGTGAAAAATCCCTGATTATTCCTTGAACCAGAAGATTTGTTTCTAAACTCATCAGTTACAAGGTGACCTTCCTATTTCAAGGGTCCCTGGAGAATATGACATGCTGACGACTTATGCCCTGATGTTGCTAGAATGAAGTTCTACCGCCATTTGCAACAATGAGGTATTTGCCTAGCTATGTCTGCCTGAAGCATGTTCTTTTGGCCTTTGGCCTGTGGAGTTCTGCAGAAACACAGCCATGGCCTCTTCTCACTTGTTACAACCACAAATTATTAATTAGCCTCTGGTTCCAACTCCAGCAACTGTTGCAGGGCAGTTGAAATGTGGCCTTTTGGAAAGGGATTACACTGGGCATAGCAATGGCACAAAGCTCTTTGAATGACTGCTGTAAAACCACTCTACAAACTCACATTCACAGACTTTCCTTTCCTCCTCCTCTTCTTCTTCTTCACATTTTTCTAATGTGGCATCTTCTTCGAAGTAGTTCATGCCTACAAGACTCACTCTTAGGCAATTGTTTAGTGGGTGAGCATGTGGAGATGTTTACTATGGTTGTTGACTTCTCAGAGGCCGTGACATTGCGCTTCTAACAAATGAAGCAAGTGAAGCTTTTCGTGGCATATTGATAAACTTAATGGAAAAGCTTCACCTGCTTGTGTATGCCACACTATACAGTAAAAGGTAGGAGATGGTTGTTAAAAAGATGGCAACCCTAGTCTGTATCTCAGACACACTGAGATCACAGCTGTCAGTCGTCAAGTGTCAACCAGTCCTGGGGTTTCCGTGATGTTAATATGGCCCAATTGTATTGGCCCAATACAGATGACCAACTCACTAATCAGTAAGGTTTTCCCTGAGAGAAGTAAAAAAGTGGAGACTTGCTCTAACCCATAATAAAATAATTTAATGCCCTAATGCTCAGATTACTAGATTGAGGTTTGCTGTACCTCTAAAGTTATTTTTCTTGTTTGTGGTGCGTGATAGAATTATTGTATAGTAGTATTTGGTGCAGTGATGCAACTGTATCTTGGGGAGCAGTGCCAGAAAATAAAATAAGTCCTGCTAGCATAGATCTGGGCAAGTTATTAGTACAGGTACCTCTACTTGTAATCCATTTCATTTGCAGCATCCTATATGACACACCTGGAAGCTTTTGCATTTTAGGTTAGTGATGCAACTTCAGTACTACCCAAGGTTCGTCCTCAATTTACCGTACTTTTCCATCTATAGGATGCCCCCATGGATAAGACGCCCACTAATTTCCGGGACTCAGTATTAAGAAAATGGGGGGAGATTGTCCAGAATTGGAGAAATGCCAAAAAAAAGCTCACCCAAATTCCAAACACTTGCGATCGAACGCAACACAGAAGCCTCCTATCATATTTCCAATTGACACCAGCAGCCGCCAATCACATGCCCAATTGCTGCAGCAGAGCCCAATCACCAGCAGCCATCATCACAGCAACAACCAATTGCCAGCACACATTCTCGCAACAGTGCCCAATCACAAGTGGACATTTCCGCAGCAATAACACCAGTGGCAATCTACTACTCAAGACAGAAATCATTTCCCTCTGCACTACCCATGTATAAGACTACCCCAATTTTTAAGCATTGTTTTAAGGTAAAAAAACATCGTCTTATAGACGGAAAAGTACCTTAGCTTCTGTGATGTTTCGCTACTGCTAGGGCATGAATCAATCAATGTTATGACAGTGTGATATAGAAATTGCTTATTGTGAGTAATGATATTTCCTAGCTGATGCTGTTATATGACACTAATCACTGCAGGCTACCATATACTCCGAATGAACTCTCCTATTTCTCTGGAGAGAACTCCTCACATTCTGGTTTTTATGTATGTTTCATGTTTGTGGCTTTAAATCAAAACAAAATAAACTGTGTTTTGAAATGCATTCTGTTCCATGGGACTCTTGCTCAAAAGCTTGAACAGGCTTATATTGTATTCTGATGTTAGAGAAAGAATTGTATTTGTATGTTAACCTGCAATTTATGTATCTACTTTCAAGCTAGTTTTAGGTTAGTCTTGTATTAAGAGTAGAATGGCTCTCATTCACAGACATTTGTCTTGATCTACCAAAGGAGATTTGTATGTGGATGCAGGCTTCCATGTATGTGGCTGATAAATATAGCGCTGCATTAGTATTCATATTGCAAAGTTCCTCTGAGCCCAACTGAACTGTTTGGATGTTCCTTTTGATCTAGATTAAGGGGAAGTAACATGAAGAAGTTATCTTCAGGGTACAATCAACATGTTAAAATTGGTAAATTATCTGTTAGCAATGCAATGGATTGTTGTTGTTCTTTTCAGATATAGGTACTCCAAGACTGAAACTTGTTTGGTAGGAAGAAAAAGGGCCAGAGTTCCCCAAGATTCCCCATCTTCTCTGGCTAGCCCTGGCTAAAGGCATATAGAAGTTCCTGTATTTTAGAACCAATGTGGTACCCTCCAGATGGATTTGAACTGCAACTTCCATCTTCCCTGGCTACACTAGTCAGAGATTATGGGAGTTGTAAGCTAACATCTGAAGGACTCTACCTTGGCTACCCCTGCCTTGAGATATAGGTTGGGGGCTTCCCATAGGTCAGTGGATGTAATTTTGCTTCCCACATATATATATTGAGTCCTATTTGGGAGCAGGAAACATTCCATTCATAACAGCAACAAGTGTTTCAGCAACTTTTTAGTGTTTCCTCCATGCCTGTGTTTTTAAAATATTGGGAATTAAATTATCAAGTGCCTGAGGTTGTCGAGTGAAGATGTAAAACAGCTGTAGATCTAATGCATTTTTGTCATTAAGTTTATATACACAAATGAAAGACTATAATCGTCACTGTTTGTGGAATGGAAGTAGCAAGCCAGACATACCTGTAAAGTAAAATATACACACATCAGCATTCATGCCAAAACAAGATTGTTTACCAGATTCTTTCAGGTGTTTAGATACATGAACACTTGTTCTAAGTATGCTGAAATGGAAAAAAGAAATCATGTTCTGGTCTTCTCAACTCTTGAGATACAATGCGAGGAATACAATGGAAAGATGGCACCCACATATTTAGCTCTGAATATTTTATCTTAGACGAAGCATGCAATTGTGTTGACAGTGCCCTTTCCTAATGTAAGTTGTCTGGACTTGTTTGTTCTTCATGCACTTTGCAGTTATGACACTTGCTGTTTCCACTCCACTTGTGCTCTGCATTGTGTGGCTTAATTGGTCTCTTCATTAATACATTTATGTTGTCACAGTGGCTAAACATTATTTCGTCTTGTGTAGTTTAAGCAAGTTTAGGTAAACATTCTTGTTTAGATAGTTTGATTAAATTACTTTAAATGCTTAAAACATTTTTAGTACACGTACAAATAGTATTTTTAAAGTAAAGAATACACAATATAACAAATCATATTCCACAGACATACATCAGTATATCTCGCTAGTTAATGGATGGTTAGAGTACATTTTGTCATTGTAGATGAGCTTTAAGGACCATTTACTGATGGCGAGTGGTGACTGCAACCCAGGATGATCGCAGTCGGAGCCAGGGACAAACTTTTGGTCCCACACGGCCTTGGGGGGGGGGACAAGACTCCCTTCTCCTCTGGCCATGTGGGTTGCTGGGGCATGCATTTAAATGGAGCTATCATGGGCAAGCAAAGGGGCATGGCTTGCATTGTGGACCTGAGTGAAGACTTCAGCCCCTAGACTTGGGTCTGCTCACAAGGCATCTAAAGAAGCATCACCCAGACTCACCAGCTCAGTTGGACGTGGATTCCCTACCCTCCCGTCCTATGTAGCATATGGTCCTGCCTGAAGGTGAGCTGGCAGGTCCTTCATAAAACCTTGCTATGGAAATAGTTGGTTGCATATTCAGAACCAGGGAGAAATTTGTCTGCAGTCAAATTAGGCCTGTCAGGCAGTTTTGCCTACCTCATGGCGGGTATCCTTGGGCTGGATCCTTAATCTAGGAGTGGGGGGGGCTGGGAGCCCACCCACTCCTGCTTCAGGTAATTGGGGTTAACCCATTAAAGGGGTCCAGGTGGAGGTGCTCCAGATGTTGAAAAGGAGGCCGATGGGCCATAGAAACACCCACCCCCCAGCTGAATGACAGTCTTAGAGGGATCACCCGTATTGGATGTATGTCACATAGAGATTCTTAACCCAGGACAGACCCTGCAAAATATTAAACCAGCAGTGGGGCTGAATGATTCAGGGTACAGTGGTACCTCTGGTTATGAACTTAACCTGGAACTGTTCTTAACCTGAGGTACCACTTTAGCTAATGGGGCCTCCCGCTGCTGGTGCAAGATTTCTGGTTCTCATCCTGAGGTAAAGTTCTTAACCTGAGGTACTACTTCCGGGTTAGTGTTGTCTGTAACCCGAAGTGTTTGTAACCCGAGGTGTTTGTAACCTGTGGTACCACTGTACATACCCACTCCCTATGTCAAAGCCTACTTACATTTGTAATCAATAAAGTTGTGTCTATTTGAACCCAAGATGTTTGTCCAGTGTGTCTATTGTATCATCCAATGCTTTGGACCTCACTGGCCACAGGTCTCCTGCACCTGATCCTGCAAGCTTCTCTTGCAGATAACGTATCATTGCTTATTTTAGGTGCTACATTCAGATGTTCAAAAATCCTGTTTTCCTTTTCTCTAGGGGCAATAGGAAGTTGGAATGATCCCAGCAGAGTTGCTCAAAGTTTTAAGAAATGCAGATGAGATTTGTTTTGTCATATAAAAATGCTAACTCTGCCACTCTTGCTTTGTTTTTAGACTGGCCTTTTGTGTCCCCACCAGTCAAGAAACTACCATTTCTTTGAATAGGCTAGGCACCCCCATGAACGTAACAAATGTATCAGGAAATGGCATTGCTCCCTGGGCCCACAGATCCCGAATTCACCTCATATTCTTACAACAACTTGGAGACGCTTTGCGAAGTGCAGGCAAAGAAAGGATTCTTCTACAAAAAGGCCACACTTCTGCGTCCTGGGGAGGACTTGTGTTGCTTTGCCCACCGAGAGGACCGAACTGGGTATGTGATCATCAATGTAGGTGGCATCAAATACAGAATCCCATGGACCACATTAGAGAATTGCCCCTTGACCAGGCTTGGGAAGTTAAAATCGTGTAACAACTACGAAGAGATCATGGATATCTGTGATGACTATGATGTCAATTGCAACGAGTTTTTCTTTGACCGCAACCCCTGTGCCTTCAGGACCATCATGACTTTTGTGACGGCTGGGAAGCTCAGGCTCCTGAGAGAAATGTGTGCCCTCTCTTTCCAAGATGAGCTGGTTTACTGGGGGATAGAAGAGGAACACCTGGAGTGGTGCTGTAAAAAAAGGCTGCGACAAAAAGAGGAAGAGATGGCGGAGGCCGCGCTGTTTGAAGAGGAAATGCTAGCTAGTGAAGAGCCGCAATGTGCCTTCGAGGACAGTAGCCGTTTGCAGTTCTGCATGAGAAAGCTCAGGGATATGGTGGAAAATCCTCACTCGGGGATCCCTGGAAAGATCTTTGCTTGCATATCCGTTTCCTTTGTTGCCATCACTGCAGTTAGCCTCTGTATTAGCACCATGCCAGATCTCAGAGAAGAAGAAGACCGGGTAAGTGAACAGAAATGCATTTTATAAAAAGTAATGATGCTGAAAATAACATAAAGTGCTGGTGAAGTTTCCACCTCATCCCCAGCATACATCCTGATAAGTCCATGTTTGGTGCATCAGCTTCTGTTTTCTATAGGTGAAACCTAGTACATTATTATGGAGGTACTAAATTTCAAAAATTACTTTGGGCAGACGTATCCCAAAGTTCTGCTGCTTAGCTGCTGTTCTTGTATTGCAACCTTTGGTTGAATCAAAAAGTTCTCTTCCAGTAACAGAGCTTTGAGAAATTGAAATGCTGTCTATGTAAGCAGAGTTGACCGAGACTTGCTCCTTGATCCAAAGCGTGTCTACTCAGGCTGCATACACACAACAGTTTATTCTAGAGTCAGTGGAGACTGAGTACTTGCAAAATTCTGACAAGTTTTAAGTGAGTTGTTGTTTTTCAGAATTCTTACTTAAAACCTTGCAAAATTTAATATGCTATTAGACCTTTAAAATATCCCCTTCTAAATTGCTTACAAAGTTTGCCGTTTCCCTTAGCACAAAAAAGACCACACATCTGGTAAGTTTAAAATGGTTTACTTACAAACTCTTCAAAGTTCAGATTTCATAGGCTTTCCTATACAGCAGCAAGAAAAGACAGGCAGTATAACTTAGGTTCCAGAATGGTAGGAGTTTCTAAATTATTTGTATAGAAACACAAAGATGGCTTGCTTAAGCCAAGTGGTCTAAGCTTGGAGCATTCCGCTTAGACCTCCTTACTGGTAAGGTTCACAGGGCAGAAGGGTGGTGGAAAGTGGGAGAACAAAGAGTTTGGTAGCCCTTCCTCTCAATGTGAGCGGATGTGACCTGGCTAAGCCTAGCAGGACAGCTTGCTCTATGGGGCTTAACCCCTTCATTCATTAATCAGTGTTAAGCATGTTGGTTATATGAGGCTGATTTATCCCACACATACAGCCTGAAGCACTCCAGAGGTGATTATGTCCTCAGGCAGTGACTGCTGACAAAGTTTCAAAAAGTAATTTCAGGATAAAACAAATTGTCTATGATAATAAGCTGGTATAAAATGTAATATCCTTGAAACAGCATATTATTGTAACTGATGGTGACAAGCAACAAAGGGCAAATAGTTAATTAATTAGAGCAGTGATAAACTGCTTATTGATATGCCAGGGCAAAGCATAAAATGGAACATCATTTTACCACATATATCAAAATCCTAACCTGTTGCTGCCCTACTACAAAGGTTTGATTTTCAGGGGTCTGATTCTGCTGTAAAGGGGCAGCTGGTGGCAGAATCTCATGTAACTGCAGATCCAGCAGCAACCATTGGCTTGTTGTCCTGTGAAAGTGGGGGCAAGACTCCTTTGCTTTTTAGACCCCTGGCAGCGATCTAATACTTAAGGTGGTACTGGGAAACTAATAGAAGAGATAGGCACATCTTAATACTTTTAACCAACTAAGCAACCTCCTGCCTGCTTCACTTGATTAATAATAATGGCTTGCTTTTAACTGTCTTCTGACCACTGTTTTACACAGCTGACAAGCAATTAAATGTATTTATTTGTCTGCCTGGTGGTTGTTGTTTTTACTAGTCCAGTACATCTTTTCAATATGCAAGTTCTGATATCTTTTTTTACCAAAATGATTTGGCTTTGATTACCCGTTGCTTTTCAAGAAATACCGACCTCTGCATATGGTTCTGAATAGCGGGGAGAAAGAAGAAATTTGGTTAACAAAAGAAACTTTGCATTTAATGTTCACCAATTCCTCCCCCAAACTAAGGCCAAAAAGGAAAGAAAGAAGCTGCTGCCTAGCTGGCCTATTACTTATGCAGAGAAAGGTACTGTGTGCCCATATCAACGTTTATTATAATGGGAACAATGCTGTTTAAGTAACATCTGTTCAAAGGAGCCTTGCTGCTAGATTCTTTTCTCAACTTACAAGTGAAAAACTGTTGCAATTAATGAAATTTTAATAGGAATATGTGGTTCAGTAGTCTTGAATTGGACACTGTGTTAGAGGAGGAAGATTTGTAGGTATTAACCATTATAACTCATACAGAGAACTTGATACTTATTTTTATTTTTTGCATTATATTACACATACTTTATTACACTTCTTGTTTTCCTGTTTTGTGCAGCAGCCATGGTAGGAGATGCATGTGAAAACAAGTACTCTGTTTTAAGAACTGGGAACTAGAAGCTTTGCTTCATAAAACAAGCACAAACCTTGTTTCACATCCAACTGGCAATTTTACTAAAATGGTTTCTGTTGTTTATATATCATTTTGATATATAATCCACTGTAACTAAGTTTAGCAATTTAGGCTATAATTTTAGGATCCAAGAAGTCAGAAATCTGTGCCCTGGTAAGTCATAAGAATATGTGGAACTGCCTTTAACTAAGTAAACCTGGACTTGGCTCTCTAATGCAGTTCTCTAGCCACGCAATGTATACAGAACTGCATATACTGGGGTGAAGTGTCCACAAGAATGTGTATATTAGTGAAAATAACATGCAAAAAGGCATTATTTTAGGGGAAATTGCATACAAAAGTGTATGTTGGGATAAATTCTCATGCAAATACTGGTTAAGTTTCATGAGGACTTTAAAAAGATCTCAGACTGATGTGGAAATGTGAAGAATTGAATCTAGGGTTCAAAAAATGAGAAACTGAAGTTGGCATATTTGTGCATCCCTACCATCTTCATCTGTTTTGGTAGACCATACCTACAAAAATAATAGGAAGTGCTAAAGCACCCTTTACCACAACTAATAGCTGGGACATAGAAGACTTGTGAGAATACTGCACCCAGGCTAATATGGATTTAAGCAGTTGCCACAGTGTGGAAGCAGCTCTGTCAAACCAGCCTTGCAAAGAAAATGACAGCCTAACATTTTAGGCAAGTGGTTGCTTCATAACCTTTGTTGAGAAAGCTCCTGTCAATTTGTGTCCTTTCAATGGTAGTGCTGGGACTAACAGAAGAGCCGGGTGGAGGGAATGCCTTTGCCAGTATTGGCACAGAAGAGCGAACCAATGCCAAAGCTCGCTCCAGTTGTATGTTTTCAATCAAAATGATTGGTTGCTGCTTAGTTTCATGCAGTAGGTCACTCATGAGCCAGATGACTCACTTGAAACAGACTGTATCTAAGAGGAAGTGTTAGGCTTCTAGTTCATTGGCAGGAAGCATGGCTTAGAGCCTCATCCTTCTGGCTTCAGCAAACACTCCTGGATACAAATTAAACTACAGAGGGTACCACAAATATCCAGGACACTTTGCCATCTTGAAACTGGAAACTTGATTTTAACAGGAGAGATATTGCAGGAGTGTGGTTTTACTGATTGATACCGCTTCCCCACATCTCAGCCCCACAAAGCATTTGTGCGATGATCTTTGACACGTAGATCTTGATGGCTGGATTGATTACCGTAAATTCTCTGCCCTCAAGTGGAAGAACCTGTATAGCTGTCCAGTGGAGGGGACAGATAATAGCTTATTTGCATCCAGATGGGGTTTCCTTGAAATCTTTTCATCAATAAGTAATCCTAGGTATTTAAATCTATGAACTTGCTCGAGTGTATGACCATCTAATGTCCACTTGGACTCGGTAACCCTCCTACCGAATAGGGCAACCTTAGTTTTGGCATATTTAACTTGTAGGTGTTCTTTTTTACACAGTTGGCCAAATTTGACCAGCATCCTTCTGAGTCCAGTTTTGTTGAAAGAGAGCAGGACTAGGTAATCAGCATAAAGCAAAATGGACACTTCACTGGTTTTACTGTACAGAACTAAAGTCCATGAGAGCAAATTTTTTCTGATATGGGTTTGTTGACCATGCTCACAGTAGTTCTATCTTGCGTTCACTTCAATTTTCTAATTCTCCTTCTCAGTCCAAGCCTTTAAATATGAACATACCGTATTTTTCGCCCCATAGGACGCACTTTTTCCCCTCCAAAAATGAAGGGGAAATGTGTGTGCGTCCTATGGGGCGAATGCAGGCTTTTGCTGAAGCCTGGAGAGTGAGAGGGGTCGGTGCGCACCGATGCCTCTAGCTCTCCAGGCTTCAGGAAGCTATCCGCAAGCCGTGTGCGCCCAGCGGGAGGTCCCGCCGGGCACGCGAGGCTTGGGGCGGTAGCCTGCAGCCCGAAGCACGGGGAGCCCTCCGGAGGGCGCCCCGTGCTTCGGGCAGGTGTGCGCAAGGCTTGGGGCTGCAGCCGCGGCCGGGGGGGAAATATTTTTTATTCATTTCCCCCCCAAAAAACGAGGCGCGTCCTATGGGCCGGTGCACCCTATAGGACGAAAAATATGGTAATTATGTGCCCACTTCAACACTTGTCACAGTTTCACAGGGCCAGATATAATCTTTGAGCAGGATTCAACTAATGAGTCCTGTCGGGCAGAACCCACACCCAAGGACTCCTGCTTGCTCAACAGGGCTTTCCCCACCTCTCCTCCCCCATGTGCTTCCCAAAATCAACTCTAGGAGGGTTGGGAGAACTGTCAGAACAACACACACGGAGAGGAGGTGGGAGATTGTTTTGACAGGCAAGCCAAAACATTTGCCCTGACAGAAGGGTCACCTTAGTGTGGCGATGAGTTCCTCCTTTTGCATGCTTCTCATCATATAGACAAAATGGCACAGTATAATTTTTAAACATGAATTGTGAAAATGATGTATATACCTATACATCTTTCTTTGACTGGGAAAAAATTAGAGTTGGAGACGCGTCATTATGGCTTGAGAAGAGACTGAAAGATTTCGGGATCGTGGGGCTGCCATGTTCTGAACTTACGCTAGCAGACAAATATTGCAGTTGCCTAGAATTCCTGTGCAGTTGTACAAACCTGCCAATTAAAAAAAACACACCATATAATGAAGAAGGGACAGTGGAAGGGACAATGGTTACAAAAAGAGCAACTGTGTAGGAGGAGCAGGGTCATGTGGGCTGGTCCTTTTCTCAATTCCCCATGCGTGTGTGCTGGATGTTGGGGATG